TCCTAAATCTATATCTAATCTATGCCTAAACTATATCCTAAATCTATATCTAATCTATGCCTAAACTATCTATAACTATAAACCTAAACCTATACCTGTATATCTAACTAAATCTACCTAATTAACTGGAGCTATGGCAGGCAGCAAACAGTCAGAGGGAGGGCAGATAGAATAAGCAGAGCAGATGGCCCCAGCCGAGGCGAAGGAGAGTCAATGCTGGGTAGGGAGATGGTAAGGCTCGCCGGTAATGGAGAGGGACAGGAGTGGTATCCGAAAGGCTGCGATGGAAAAAAAGGAGGGGGAGGCGTCCAGGCCTCTCACCGACTCAGCAATGGACGATGTCAGCACGGCGCCGCCATCTTCTCCGCTCCGAGCAGCACGATCACTCAGGGTCGCCGGAACCCAACAGGAGCGCAGGGGCGAGAGGAGAGGGGCGATAGGAGAGGCAGGAAAGGGCGAGCAAGGCATTGGGGGGTGGGGGGGGAACGGCCACGGCAGCGGTACGCGCAGCCAGCCGCCGAATCCGCCGATCCCACAGAACTCCGTTCCAGATGGTCTCAATCGAACAGATCTCCCAATCCCCCCTGCTCACTGCTCACCGCATAGATGAAATTAAAAAAAAAAAAACAGAGTTCAACTCCAGTTGGAAAAGCAGCCGCTCAGATAGAATCAAAGGCAAGCGTCCAAGATTTAAAACGCAGCGTTCCAACAGAGCGGCGGCGCCATCTCTCCTCTGCGCCACAAAGCAGCTCCAGATCCAGATCCAGGCCGCAGCAAATCCACAGCTAGGAAAGCGACTGGAGACAGCTGATGTTCAAATGCCAGTCCCCGCTCGATCCGCGAAATACAGCCCTTCCAGGACCTTATGTCAAAGTTGTCACGGACTCCGGAGGCTCCTCTAAGATCTTCTTTTGTCTCGCCGGCTTCTATCGGGCGAGAAGCCAAGCAGCCATCCAGGTCCTGCACATGCGCAGAAGTTGTTAGTCACACAATTGTTACATGAATCTGGCTTCCCCCTTGACTTGTCAGAAGGTTGCAGAAGTTGATCACATGACCCTTGGATGCTGCGACCGTCATAAATATGAGTCAGTTGCCAAGCATCTGAATTTTGATCATATGCTCTTGGGGTTGCTGCAATGGACATAAGTGTGAAAAATGGTCATAAGTCGCTTTTTTCAGTGCCGTTGTAACTTTGAACAGTCATAAAATGAACTGCTATAAGTCGTGGACTACCTGTAATTGCCCATAAATTTTGAGGATGACTAAGGAATGAATTAAAAAAAGAAATTCTACATAAAGTTTTATAGAAGAGCTCAGATTGGTTAACTCTATTCATGTTATGTTTGTACTTTATCTTTTTTTATACATTTTACACAGTTACCTTGGATCAAAATTTCTATTTTTGAGCCAAGCTAATTCCTTGAGCAATTAACATTGACACATACCTTTTGCATAGTAGTAAAATACATGCAGAGGGAAACAATAAGGTAAGGAGAATTACCTTTGTAGAAAAAAATATTTGAGTGAAAGAAAAGAAAATATTATTAATTCAGGAAGTTCCATTAGCCTGATTTGCTAACCTATCAATTTACTTATCTAATATCTGTCTGAAAGTTATATGAACTTGAAAATAAACACAAACATCAAAGATAAAATACACATTAAAATATATATGTAGTTGAAAAACTTCAGGCTTTAAAATAACAAATTTCAAGCTATTTTACAGTATTTAATCTCCAAGGGAATTTCTTAAAGTGTCTTAGGTGTTCAGATTTCAGTAATACTGATTCAGTGTATTCTAATTATGTGTTTTCCTAATGCTGAAAGGTGACCTCTGTGCTTTAAATTTATTAAAATATTTCATTTAGTAATGATCGTGCTGAGAACCACTCTGTAAGCTAATTCTGAATATAAATGCAGTTAGTTACGTTAAAGCTTCCACTTGCCTTTCAAAGACTCAGATACCTTTAATGGTATGTCTGTAGTTATAATTGCCTTACAAACAATTTTGCTTATTCCTGAACTTACCAATGATAAAAACATTGATTTTAGGGACCATCAGCTGACTACAGAAATAAATGGTAAGTTAAGTGAACAGTTCATTTAACTAGAAGCTTTTTCAAAAACAAAAATCCACAAGTTCAGAATTACTGATTAATACTGTTGACATACAAGCTCCTCGTATCCATTTGATTAACTTTAATTAGTATTTTAAATACAGTAAATCAGTCATAAGTTGAAATGATCTTATTTTAAATTCAGCCTGTGCCTTTGTATTATTATTTTTTCCATTTTACAAAATACTCGTGGAATAGTAAAACAATTCATTAGGTATGAGCTGAAACAATGTTTTTTACAAACTTAAATAAAATGCATCATATTAGTGGGCTTCTGATTCTTTCATTCTTAACGTATTTGTTTTAACTGAAATTATGTAACACCCAACATACTGATTATTTTAAGTTATTATTTAAAAATGTTAACAGGGTAAGAAACAGCTGCAGATATTGGAGATCTACAAAATATATAATTACTATGCATAACTGAATACCATAATTCAATAACTGAAGCATTTCATAAGAAAAATGTCTGGAATATGCTTTGTATGTCATGAGAATTTTGCATTAAACCTCACTAGCTTATAATTTCTTCTACTTTACTATTACACAGTTATCTTTTATTTTCTGTTCAGTTTTTGAAATGCAAGTTAATTCTAGCCTACTTTCACATTAATGAATGAATGTTGGGATAGAAATTCCCCCTCCACACAAACACACACGAGTCATAGTTTTGTATGCATTATTATGCACAACATTTTGAAATGTTTTAGTAATTAAAAACTGCAAATTATAAAAGATTGCATAAGGCTTATATAGATAAGGATATAGATAATAATAGATATAATATAGGTAAAAATTATTGGACTCTTGATTCTTCAAGTCAGCTATATGGAGAACATATGTGAAATATGGAGGATTATTACATCTTTTCAGAATTTTATTTATTTATTTATTTTGTTACAAACAAGAGTGGAGTGAGTGATGGAAAAGGAATGGAAAGGGCTTCCATAAGCCAAATGAAGAGATATTTCCCACCATTATATAATGCTGTCATAGCGTACTACTATAGGGGGGAAAAACCACAATATTAGTATATTAGTGAAACACATGGGACAGAGAAGCAATAATTATTTGCAGGTATGATTTTTTTTTAAAGAGAAAAGAATGTGATGGAACAGGTGTTCCTTAATCCAGAATGCTTTACCATCTGAGGGTTCAGATTAAATCCTCTCCATATCATCCATTGTTCAGGAAGAGAGGAAAAGGACTTAATTATCCTAAGTTCTTCTGGAAAATATACTTACTACAAATGGCTTCACAAGTTCACTGGTTTTCATTAATGAGTTTGCTTGATCTTATGTGGCAGAACCGAGCTGAGTCGTCAAAAGCTTCACACCCAAGAATTATTTTATCAACTGGAAAGAGCAAATGAAAAGGTTATTGAGGTAATATCATTAATATGATCCAAATGTTATGCTTCAACTCTACAGACAGTTCTGTTTGAATATTACTGTCATTTTGATTAGAGTCTCTGACCCAGAGACACATGCTTTTTCTAATCTCACACATTGGAAAAATGTGCTATTAGAAATGGCTAATAATTTTACTGCTGTAAATGTGGTGAATTGTGTATCCTGGATGAATAGTTTTTTACTAATACTTATCTTTCATTTATCCTTTCATTCTGTTGTATTTCATTGTTCTGCAATTATTCAGACAGAAATGTAAATTTCACTTTTCATTTAAATGTTCACTTTTCTACAGTTACACAGACATTGTAATTATTATCTTAACCATCTGGTTTAAAAGTTCTTTATCCTGATAAAAATAAAACTATCTTATAAATAAATGCCTCCTAAATCCTTCTGTGCTGCCTCCAGATAATGGAGGGGTATTTCTGCCAAGTGATTATAATCCTATCGGGATTACCAAAGCGTGAAGCTCATCTCAGCAAAAGCTAGCAGGCATCTGTATTCAGCAGCAATAGAGGAAGATGCTGAAGGCATGTGATTATTTTAGTGACAACATCAAAGGCATAGTTTGCTACTATATTAAGAAAACTATATAAATGCCTTAGACATCAGTGAATTGAAATAGATTGTAATTGAATATTTTTCAATCAGAAGATAATCGTTTTTATGTCAATCTCACAAGTAGACCAAACAGGAAAAATAACAAGATGTGCAAAATCTTCTTTATTGTAAGGCTTTAGTAACAACTTTCCAAACTGACTTGATACTACATGGAGCAGCATGTCTATAGTCTGTCTGTGGTTATATTGTTCTTTAGCAAAAAAAAATTGGAAGTCTTTTTGTTTCAAATTTTACATTTGTAATAAGTGATTTCATTTATACAGAGCGAAAAATTAATGAGGGAACATCAAGAAAAAGTCAACCGACTTCAAAATCGACTAAATCAGGCAGAAGAGAGAGCAACTACAGCAACTCAACAGGTATCTAAATTAAATTGGTCCAATTAAATGAATAGAGCTCAGTCTTTATTTTTTTAAAAAGAGAAATATACTTTATGGAATAATGTTTACTGTAGCTGTTAAAATCAATGCACACATTGTATGTAATTGAATATATGCTTGATAAAGCCTTACAGATATAATTTTTGTACTTACATTGCCTTCTCCTTTTTATATTAGTTTTCTGTTATATGGCAATAAATAAAGGCAAAACATTTTAAATACAGAATTAGGAGGTATACTAAAAGGAAATGTCTGTCTAGAAACTTTGAATAGGTTTCAGGAACTAACATAAAATTATAACTGAAATCACCATGTAGAAATCTCAACTTTAATAGCAAATTATATTAGCACAACCATTCTTTCAAATCAATCAGTTTGAAAGGTAATTTGGTAAGTAAAATATAAGAATGCAGTATAGTCACTGTTAACATTAATACACTGGTCTGTTACAACTTGTATTATTTCACTTGCAGCATCAGATATATATGCATAATTCATAATGGGGTAAACCGGTTACGCCATTCAGAAGTTGGACCTTTAACCACTCTAATCACTATCTGATATAAATTGGAATCCACTTATATCTGTAAGGTCTTACATTTCTCAAAAAGTAATTCCCTCCTCTCACATAAATAGGTAGAAGCTATAATGAATTTGCAGGTCAGAGAACATTTGGTATGTTCATAATAATGGTGGATGAGAAAAACATTTACATAGGAAGAAAATAATTTCTGAACGTTATGTATTTCAGGTTGTATTGTCATCTAATTTGTTTAAAAGGACAAATGAAGAAAGAAACTAATTCTTGTTTGTTTAATTACAGCTCAGCGCCATAACATTGCAGAAGAAAAAGGCTGCCTACTTGATAGAGCAAAAAGAAATGTAAAATAATAGGTCCTTTCATAGTGTATATGTACAGGTTGCCGAAAAGTACCTTTGGAGCCTTAGAATGTATCATGTAAAATATTTTCCAGATAATACTTCATTACTTTATAAAACAAATGTATTTATTCCTATTCACAACAAACATTAAGCAGACAGCTGAGAAAATATGTAAAAAAAATATGGAGGTGCTGTCAAGCGGCTGCTAGCGAGCACAGGGCACTGTCCCTTACCCAGCCATCCGATTGTAATCCAAAACTCCAGAGGCTCCAATTGGGGCTCTGGTGGCTAGCAGTGGCTCTCTCCTTCCCCTGATTAGCGCGGCGGCCATTTTGAAAGCACTTTTTACCGGCCACTGACTGAAGCTCCGGCTGGCTTCCGAAGACGCCGAGAGGTGGTGGCCATTTTTGACACATTTGCTCCTATCGGCATCCGAACACCATGGGAAGCCTGAAACAGTACGCAAAAGCCCCTCAGACGCAGACAGCCTCCAGGGAGCGCGTAATCTAGTCCGGGGCGCCGGCAAGATTAGCCTCTCTCCACCCACTTCCACAGGCAACAGGATAGGCGGCATTGGAGATTCCTTGGCTAGGCCATATTCCTGACCTCTGGATGTTCTGCGAGCGCTGCCAAGCCGGCTGGCTCGCACTGGGTGCCACTCTACTGCAGCAGCCCCACGTCAGTACCAATGAAGATCCAGCACAACTGCCTCAGAGGAATCATCATGGCAGATGGATGTTTGGAGGCACAAGGGGACCTGGCAGGGCCCTCTTTGAAGCGCAGTAGGCCAGATCCTCCTCAACATGGGGGGAAAGAGTGGAAGGGCACTACAGGGAAGGGTTCCCATGATTCCTCAAGGAATAAGGGGCCCCAAGGGGAAGAAACCAGGAAACAAGGCCCCGGGGAAGGCTTCTGAGAAGACCCTGAGGCCAGAGAAATTGCCTGAGAATAGGGCTACAGTGATCAGTCCTTCCCCAGTCATTCTGGATGAGGGGGACCCCTCACCCTCTCAGGGAGATCGGTCCCCATCCTTCATTGACAGTGAATCCCTGGATCGCTCCCATGATACCTCACTGGGTTACCCAGATTCCCCTAGTATTTTTTTTTTTTTTAGTATTTTATTAGGATTTATAGGCCGCCCTTTTCCCTGAGGGGACTCAGGGCGGCTTACAATCA